GCCATATCCCTATCTGAGTGTGTAGAACTCCGCACAAAATTCAGCAGATTTCAGTTTGTCTCAATGTTCTGTGAATTTCTCATTTAGGATGGCAAACTTGCTCCTCACATGGCACGACCCAATCCCCCAAATTTTGGACCAGGATTTTCCCGTAAGTCTTTAGTAATTATGGATATCAGTAATGCAGTCCACATTGGTGTTACTCATCCAGTTATGAAACAAACATTCTGAATATGAAGATGTGTATAATGTGTAATGTAATTCCAAAATAAGCATTTATTAACATATTTAAATTGTCATTTTACACTTAACCACAAAAATGTATTCTGTATGCCAGTAATTATTAATTCCAACCTTTTCCCCATCAAGATGATGCACAGAAGGTTCAGTATGAAGACTGGCTCAGGGAAACCCAGCAGCTGCTTCAGATGCAGCAGAAGTTTTTGGAGGAGCAGATTGGGGCCCATAGAAAGTCAAAAAAGGCCCTGTCAGCCAAGCAGAGAACTGCCAAGAAAGCAGGACGGGAGTTTCCTGAGGAGGATGCAGAGCAGCTGAAACATGTGACAGAGCAGCAGGGGGTGGTGCAGAAACAGCTGGAACAGGTAAAACACACACATAATCTCAGTCATTCATGGTTTGATCTTCATGAGCCGCTTTGCTTACAGATGAAGTCCCTGGCCTCTTTCTGAAAAATAAACCTAATAAAACAATTCTCAGTTTATAAGATAATCTAGAAAAGTATTATAATTGCATTGAAAATTAAATAAAAATACACATATCATTTCATCATTGAAAACAAAGCACCTTATCATTTGATTTAAAGCCCATGCACACTATAACAATAACTATACTAGTGTCCACACCAATGGACGATAGCCATCGGTTTAATTTAAGTGTGTGCTGCAATTGTCATCTGCTGCTTTAAATGCTCAAGTTCTTCAGGATTCTGATTGGCTGTCAGTGTTTTTATCTTTCATCAGATTACAAAACACTTTGAAAGTGATTAAAATGATATCGTTTCTCGGTGTCGTTATCACTAAAGTTGTGGCATGGACATCATTATTCTCAGAAAATTAGAACAGTTATTAATACTACAGCTATCGCCCTTAGTTTTAACATCTTACCATTTAATAGTTTTTCAGAATGTTTTAATATGAATTAGGGCTGTCAGTCGATTAAAATTTCTAATCTAATTAATTACAGGGTGCTGCGATTAATTAATCTAATTAATCGCAAACTAAATTTGGCTGTGAAAATACCCCCAAAAGGTATTCCCAGTCTTTAAATCTATTATTGTGTTAAATGTTTAGGCTACAATGGCCTAACATGAAGTATGGAACATAAAAGAAGATAATTTGAGAAAAATCTCAGTATTTTTTTGTTCATGCAATGAAAGTCACTAGTGACCAAAACAGCTTAGTTATAAACAGTATTCAAAATACCTTCTTTTATGTTGTGAATGGCCTAACATGAAGTATGGAATATAAAAGAAGATAATTTGAGAAAAATCTCAGTATTTTTTTGTTCATGCAATGAAAGTCACTAGTGACCAAAACAGCTTAGTTATAAACAGTATTCAAAATACCTTCTTTTATGTTGTGCAAAAGAAAGTAAATCATTCAGGTTTGAAACAACATGACAGAATTTATTTATTTATTTTTGTTGAACTATCCCTTTAATCCCTTTAATTATACTTTTTTTTTTTTAAATAAATGAAATTATACTTTAAAGAAGAAACTAAAACTACCAGCAGTAGGTGGTAAATGTATTTATGAGTTGATTCGTTCAAACGGCTGATTCACTCAGGAATGAAGTAAACAGCTCTCTCTGTCTGCGTCCCAATGTGCACACTATCCATCCTAAATTCTATGTGATATTAGTAATTTTCAATACTACTTAGGGCAGATAGGGTGGATAGTATGCACATTGGGATGCAGGGTATGAATGGGCTACTGAATCATTGGTTCAAACGGTTTGTTCAAAATGCGGATTCATTCAGAAACTAAACACCACTGTGTTGCTCAGAGACGCACAGCAATTCTGCTGTGGCTTTTAGGTAATATTTTCGATGGCAAAATTGAACAAAAACTCACAAAATTGTGTTTTAAATATAGCACAATATTAACTTCTTGTTTACTGAACTGTTGTATAAAATCACATTTGTACTTGTTCTTCGTGACAAAAACAGCACTCTTGTGATATTGCTCTCGCTGCTCGTGTGATAGTCTGTTGCTTATCCTACGATATAAATATGAGACAGAAACTCATACAGAGGCATTTTTTGCACCATAATCTTGAATTTTAGGGCATAACTGCATTTATGGAGTTGTTGCCCTGCATCATATTTGTCAACAGTCCACTGTATGAAATGTAAGATGACGTACAGGTCTGGGGGCAGGGCCAGTGTGTTAACTGCATTAAAATATTTTAATCGCGTTATTTTTTCATAACTAATTAATTAAGTTAACGCGTTAAACTGACAGCCCTAATATGAATACAAATTCCTTAAGTCCTTAAATATGTGGATGACTCTTTCCATTTGTAACAGTCAAAGATAGAAAAGTCTTTTTGCAGCAATCATTTCTGATAATGAAAATCTGTTAAATCTGTGGTTCAGCTATGGTTTGTACAATTTGAAAAGGTAATATACTATGAAATAATATTTTCTGATGTAATAAATACTGCTACATTTACAATGAATCAATGTCTAATGAAGAGTATTATTATTATTTCTAACATACAGTTGTTGACTTAAAGACAGGGTCGGTGGTTTGGTTCAAAAACATGTTTTTGTTTTTTGGGTTGAAAGTCTCTTCACATTCCGATAGCAATCACTAAGTTAAGTGGTCTAAATGTATTTATATAATCTGTGGCAAGGTTATTTTCGTAAACGAAAACTAAAACTAAGATGAAAACGATTGATGAAAAAACTATTTCGTAAACTGAAATAAAATAAAAATGACAAAATAATTGAAAAACTAAAACGAAACGAAACTAACAACAGTTATTGAAAAAGTAACTGAAATAAAATAATTATTATCAAAAATAAATAATCGTTTTCATAATCATTACATTCTCACCCCTTGGCGGAAAAATATATGAGCTGTGTGGAGGTTTAGGGAAATACCTGTAAATGGTGCATCGCGCACATGGGGTTATTTGACGGAGAGCCGCAAAGAAGACGCAAAACGCGCACCAGCAGTACTTAAAAGAACACTCGACCCGTTATCCAACAGCAGCACTA